TGCGACTCGGTGAGTATCGCAAAAATAAGAACTCGCATTCTGATAACTGAAACATGGACCGGTATGCAGATTTTTCGAAATCGCAATAATTTTACTCGCATTTTTGTCTATTCTTGTAAAATCGCAATAATAAATGCACGCAATAATTTCTGAATTTACAGTAGGTAAATTAAAAAATTTCAAGTTCTTAGACCACATTCATTCTGTGTCAGAAACCTATGCTGTGTCAAATATTTTATCACAATCCAAATTCAGTGCTGTATCAAGCTTGAATGTTGTGTCCATACTTGCCCCAACTGTTCAGGGTTCGACCTCTGTGGTCGTATCAAGCTGTGCCCAGCGGAGCATTTTATTTTATTGGCCGATATTTTTTGGGGTTTATGTAATACCTCTAAATGTGATTATTTGAGTACAAGCACTGTGGTGATTTATAGTTAAGTCCTAATTGTAAAAAGGAGGCCTGACCTGTCTCGGATGAATGAGTTTTGTCAGTAGTTCATCTACGCCCTGTGATCTTTAGCCTGTCAACAATGAGGTTTACAGTTCAAATCACGCTCGTGGCTGGTGTTTTTGACTCCAACCTAAATTGACTATGATTGCTACTTTTCCTGTCATAGTGGTTCTCTGACTTCATCCACAAATAAAAACTAGCAACCATGATATAGCCAAGAGTGCTAGAATATGCATGAAACACAAAATATGATTAATAGGATGTTCGCTACTCTGTTTCAGAATAACAAGCTTTTCAAAAGACTTATAAAATTATAGTATATAAGTAAAGGAACTAAAGAAAAGGAGAAAAAATTAAGGGTGCTTGTTTTCGAGATATAAGCCTTTGAAAATTTGGCGGGAAGTGATTCTCTTTAGATTTTTCATACTTTTAACATTGTCATCTTTTTTCTTTATGACTATGAAAACTATGAAAAAATAACAAGGATTTTATAAGATTTCCAAATATGGCTTTTAAAACAATTTATAATAAAATTATGAAAAGAAAAGTAGGGGTTAGTGGACAAATTTTTTAAAGGGCAAAACATGGATTAAACCAGAGGATTCCGAATATCTGGCAAAAATTCAAAAAAAAGAGGAGTGAACATCCTATATAGGAGTTATTTGATACATACTAATTATATGGTCTTCAACATTAGACCAATTTCGATACAGTATGTTGAGCTCTAAATCTTCCAGAGTTAAAAATAGTTGTGAATAAATAAAACCGAAGCTCAAAGATCTTCATTAAGTACCATTATTTCCTAAATGTTAATAAATATATATGAAGATAAAGATAATGAGGTTCTAAACATGTGACAGAAACAGAAACATGTGGTGGTGCTAAAACTAGGTTTTTTTTAATGATCTCTGACCCTGCCCTTTAATATTGATGTTGATCAATGGATTTACAAATGTTAAGGTGGTACCCAACACCTTGACTAATACTAATTTGGCTCGTTTAATTTTCCTAAAAATTTGACAAAATGTTTACTTTGACCCTTTGACAAAAATATAAAAATTTCAAATAATTTGAACCAACCACTTTATCAGAAAAATTTCACTGGTTATATAGCAGTTTGACAAACACTAATTTTGATCATTGAGAAGCTTAATATTTCCTTAACAATACAACGTAATTAAAACGTTTAGCTGATTTTTACAGAGTTATCTCCCTGTAGTGTTAGGTACCACCTTAACCATATATAAATGAATGTATAATAAGAATTAATACAGGAAAATATCAAAATAAGAAGCACTTATTCAAAATAATGGTGTTGTTCTTTTTTTTTCTTGATGTATGTAAATATATGATCACAATTGTCCAAAATTAGAAAAGTTACCCATTAGGTCTTTATGTTAATTTTATTTTTAAAGTGTTTACTTGATGGAGTAAATGTTAATAGTGAAACAGTCTTCCAATCAAAACAAAAATAACATAAATGTGATGTGCTTAGAATGTCTTGTTTCATTGTACCATTGTAAAATTAACATAAGATACCTAATGGGTAACTTTTTTAGCTCACCTGGCCTAATAGGCCAAGCGTGCCTTTCTCATCGCTTTGTGTCTGTCATCTTCTGTTAACTTTTACAAAAATTTTCTCCTCTGAAACTACCCTGCCAAACTTCAGTTTAACAAAATTTGGCCACAATCATCATTCAGGTATCTAGTTTGAAAAAATGTGTCTGATGACCATTGCCTGCCAACAAAGATGGCCTACATGGCTAAAAATAGAGCATAAGGGATAAAATTTTTACCTATTATATTGAAAACTGTTACAAATAGAGAAAATCTGAAAGGGGCAAAAATTTTCTAAATGTTGAGCTCTATCTATTGTTCGTTTTCGTCCAAAACTGTCAGACGACTTCTTAAAATGATGAATTTTACCATTTTTATAAATTTTTGCCTTATTATCTCAAAAATTATAATAGATAGACAGAAACTTTAAATAGCAAAAACGATCAGCAAGACAAGATCTACAAATAAGTCAAACATCTTTAGTCGACTCCATATTAGAGCTCTTGTCCTAAAATGACGATTTTTACTAATATTTTGCATTTTAAACTTATATCTTAAAAAAACTATATTAGATAGATGTAAACTTTAAATAACAAAAATGATCAGCAAGACAAGATCTACGAATAAGTCAAAAATGAGCGAAATTGTTAGTCGACTCTTTAATGAAGTTAATTGCCCTTTATTGACAATTTTTTCCCATTTTCATACGAGCGTTTACGGGACATTGCCCATTTATGGGATGTGTTATGGTATACTGTTTTCCGTCCATTCGTTGTCAACATGTCAAACAATAATTCAAAAACGTCTTAACCAATTTGTATGAAACTTTGGTTTATTGTTTATATCTTTAGACGTAAGCTCCCTTTCGATTTTTATATATTTTGGATTTTACGTTTCCGAGTTGTGTGGTTTTATTCATTAAAAAAGGGGGATTTTCCAGTTTTCAGACAATAACTCAAAAGTACTTTGAGCAGTTTTCATGAAACTTTGGTGAATTGTTTATATCTATTGACGTGAGCTCCTTTTTGATTTTTATAAATTTGAGATTTTACGTTTATGAGTTATTGGTTTTTATTCATTAAAAAAAAGGGATTTTTCCACTTATCAGGCAATAACTCAAAAGTTCTTTGAGCAGTTTTCATGGAACTTTGGTGACTGGTTTATATCTATCAAAATAACCTATTATTTTTTTTATAAATTTCTGATATGACATTGAGGAGTTATGGAACTTTATTCTTTGAAACAGCGACGGGGCATAGCATGGGGCAGCTTATTATTGCCTATTATCTTGAAAACTATTATAGATAAACAGAAACTTTAAAATGGAAAATTTATCAGAAGGATCAGATCTACAAATATGTCAACGTGACTGAAATTGTCAGTTATCTCTTAATAGGGATATTCCCCTTTAATGATGTTTTTTACTAAGAGGGGGCCATTTTTGAAGATGCAGGTGAGTTTAGTTATTGATCTAAAATTATAAAATTAATAAAGTTTGTATGTATCATATATTAACATACATCAAGATGAAAATGTTAATTTGAAATAATGGATTTTTGCCCCCCGTGTAATTCGTTGCGGGGGACATGGAAATACCGGGCGTCTGTCCGTCCGTCCGGTGTTGTTAAGCTCTCTCACATGTACAATTCTTGCCAGATTTTTATGAAACTTATATCATAGGTTTATATCAGCAATAAGTACGTCTTGAACGAGTTCGAAAATCAGTGCCGTTCAATTATTTTTAAAAGAGCTATGCCCCTTGTTAAGATTTTTTTTTGCAAATATATACAAGTCAAGAGATAATATAATAGATAACAAAAACACAAGGATAATCAAAATAATACTAAACAATACCATTAAAGAATGCTCACAGCTACTGAGAGGAAGGAAGCTTAAAGCTTAATGATTCTGTTTAAGGATAATTACTGTATCTCTTACAGTTCTTTATGTCTAGACAACAATTAATTCGAAAGGTGATACTTCTTTATTTGAAGATGTCCTATTAGATTATGTATAAGACTTTTGGAAGACTTGTTTTTCGGTATAAGTTAATTTAAAGACTAGACCAGCATGACAATTTGATGAGTTAAAGGTGATGATTAAACTGACATTTCTAAATGTTTGTTGTTGTTTTCTTTTACTTTAAATTGAAGTCTGGGTTAATTAGAGAGAATATAAAAAAAGCAATTAAAGAAAAAACAATTAAGTACTGCAGAATCATTATTATTCGTTGGATACTAATTTTCGTGGGTTTCGTGGGAACAGGTGAACCACGAATTTATATGCTCAACGAATTACAAATGTTTTATTGCCTTGTAAGTTGTACGTAGACATTGACAAAACCAAGAAATCAAATATCCACGAAAATGCAAGTTTTCCTTAATCCTCGAAAATTGGTACCCACGAAAATAAATGAATCTACACTATAAGTGATCTAAATTCCTGATTGGGTAATGGTTTGCCTGCAACATTTTCATTTATATCTATTTTGTAAACAAGGATTATAGACTTACATAGTATTGATCTGAAATTTGACATTTAGAGAAGTATCTGCACCAATAATGTTTTGTTTAAGGAACAAGAAACACATATTTTTATGCCCCCGCCATAGGCAACGGGTGCATTAAGTGTTACCCTTGACCGTCCATCCTTCTATCTTTCAGTCTTTCTGTTCTTCCATCTTTCTGTCCTTCAGTCCTTCTGTCTTTCCGTCCGTCCATCCGTCTCACATTTTCGTTTTTTTTTTTTTTTATTTAGCCTTTAATTATAGTGTATGAACTTTAATTCTCAACATCCAAATTCCTACCAACATGTCTGTGTATCAATACATTCTGACTACACTGACAAAGAGATCCCCCCTTTTCATTGGTCATACTGCCAGACAGGAGAATTCTGGATAACAATCTTTATACTCCAGTTCACCAGTAACAAGAAAACAACCTTTCATTGTCTGAATGTCAAAGGCAATCTTAAATAATTGTTCTATTTATAGATAGCCAAACTCATGGAAAAGAACCAAAGAAAAAACCATGGAAACCGAAATCCTTTTTCCCGTTGTCTGGTAGGAAAGAGGCTAGAGGAAAAGAACCAGTACTGAACGACATTTTGATCCTGGCCAAGCATATATTTGGTGAGTTTGTTTAGTTACAGTCCTAGTCAGGTACTTTGGTTGTCAGACACAAGTTAGTCACTAAGCATTTTGCTTAAAATGTGGAATGAACAAACTAACAGAGTGATTAAAAGTCATTTCATCATTTTTTATGAAATATTGTATAATAATCACTGAGTTTCAAGTTCAACATAATTTTAGACATTTTTTGTAAATTAGTTGAAGTTTTCTTTTATATTGCTTCAAATGTCAAGGTCAAAGTTACTTAAAATAGAATGAAATTAGTGCTAAAAATAGATTTCTAGATTAAAAAACACCAGAGTCTTTGATAGTATTGAAACCAGACTTGCATATACAATGTACACGGTCATATATAAAGTACCGAAGATCCATTTTGATTTTGAGATTATTGTATTTAGGTAGTAGTTACTTAAAATGATCTCATAAAAGTGCAGAAAATGGTTTCTCTATGAATCTATCCGTGCTTTTCCTACAGTTATGGTCAAAGATAGATAACTCAATTAAAAATATTGCCTAAAATATGTTTCTTGCTTAAACCAATGCAATGTTCAATTTAAATGCACAGTGCAAAATGAAAGCAACCTTAACTGTACAGTCTTCACAAACACCATGATTAAAGTTTAAAATTTTCAAAACAAAGTGAGCTGTTCAAATTATTTGACACATTACATCTAGAAACTTTAACCAAAATCTGTTTTTTTGTCAGAAACCGCTATTATAAAAGCGAATTGAAACTAAATTTAGTTAAAATATATTAATTGTTTAGTTTCAGATTATGCTTGGGATAAAATTTGAATATATTGGCTCAGGCCATGTGAAAATTTCCAATATATCTTTGGCTTGTATAAATTATTTCTTAAACAATAATACAAAATAAAAATAATTTAAAAAAATGGTTTATAATTGATCGACAATGTTTTTTTTATACGACTGCAAAACAATTTTGTGGTCGTATATATATATTGGTATGACGTTGGCGTCGTCGTCGTCGTTCTCGTCCAAAGACACATTGGTTTCGCACTCTAACTTTAGTTTAAGTGAATGGATCTCTTGAAATTTTACCATAAGGTTCAATACCACAAAAGGAAGGTTGGGATTGATTTTGGGGGTCATGGTACCAACAGTTAAGGAATTGGGGGCCGAAAAGGGGCCAAAAATAAGCATTTTTGTAACTTCCAGACATAACTTGTGTGTTAGTGTATGGATCTCTCTGACATTGTACCACAAGGTTCCATATCACAAAGGGAATGCTATGATTGATTTTGGGGGTAATTGCCTCAAAATTTTAGGAATAAGGGGCCAAAAAAGGCAAAAAACAAGCATTTTTCTAGTTTCATGACAATAACTTAGGTGTAAGTGTATGGATCTTTATGAAATTGTACTATAAGGTTCCATATCACAAAGGGAAAGCTGGAATTGAGTTTGGGGTAATTGCCCAAAACATTTAGGAATAAGGGACCAAAAAGGGGCCAAAAATAAGCATTTTTCTAGTTTCCAGACAATAACTTGTGTTCAAGTGTATGGATCTCTCTGAAATTGTACTGCAAGGTACTGTAACGTGTAACCAGGCGTTTATATCTTAAACGTCCGTTCCAGTAAATACTTGGATTCAAGCTGTCCATAAACAATACGGCAATACTATTACTATCTATATTATGCACAATGAACTAAAATATACACACTGACTCTTTGCCGATATAAAGTAACAACGGACAATTATATATATACAAATATAATACAATAAACAGCCTGTCCTCAAGATGGGACGGTCTGTCACTAAAAGACAGTATGGCTGGTACAGTCTGTCTGTATCAGACAGTGTGTGCTGGTACAGCCTGTCCTCCGAGTGGGACAGTCTGTCACTTCCGGACAGTGCGGGCTGGTACAACTTGTCCTCCGAGTGGGACAGTCTGTCACTACCAGACAGTGCGGGCTGGTACAGCCTGTCCTCCGAGTGGGACAGTCTGCTATGTCAATCCTATCAACGTGTACGTCCACTTTGTACCTAGTACAAAGTGTCCTCTGAATATCAAGGCTCTTCTAGCACTTAATATATCCGACGTACGCTCTGTTGAAGTATGACAGCTCATCGACAGCCAACCGATAGCCTCAAGTGCCGTTTCTCATTCTCTTATATACTCGTGGTCGATACCACTATTTCCTTGATAGGGATGTTCTCTATATATTACCCTTACGGAGCATAGAGAGTCCCTTACGGTCACCCCTATAACTTTCGACCCGGCCACTTATTTTCCCGCCAAACGTCTAAATCCACACAACGCTTCCTTCAGAGTGAAACATGCATTGATACAACAAGATTCTCCTGATTTGTAACCATAACCATCAAAAAAAACATTACATAACCCACGCCTCAATCTACATGCGTCCCGCATGATACATTTAAAATTACAAAATTTAATTCAACAACATTTATACACAATCTGAATTTTACTTATTTACATAATCAGCCATCCAGGCTGGTCTCTTACTCTCGTGACGACCATTGTCCTCCTCTAATCTTATTGAGGCACGCTTCCTTTTCATTGGGCGTTTTTTCCTGTTGCACTTAGTGCAACTAGTGACATATGCTCTCACTTCAGATTGCAAACCAGGCCAATAGAAAGACTGGCGTATTTTATCAAGAGTCTTATGCGTACCTAAGTGACCAGCATACTCTGTGTCATGGCAGTATTCTAATACTTGCTTGCGCTCCGACATTGGAATTACCGCTTGTAATTTCACAATGTTCCGTTCCCGATCGTCGTGGCGTCTAACTACTACATCACCGTGGACCTCTAAACAACCAAACTGACTCCATAATGACCTAAGAAAATATCCCTTACTGGATACCTCATTGTATTGTGGCCTTTGACCCTCTGTCAGCCACCGCTTAACACGTTTAAGGTCCGAGTCATTCGATTGTAACTCTATTAAAGTCAAGTCTTTACCTTTGTCTGGTATCTGACTTGTAACTATGTTGACCTGGCTTTGTTCTCTCTTAGAACAATCACGGTTCGTTTTTAACTGTCTATCTGATGTTAACCGACATGGGTTTCTGTGAACATCAGCCTTTCTATTTTGAGTACCTTGAAAAAGTAGGGGAACCTTAAAGTTATCGAAGTGTAATAAGTTAGCAGATACGTCAATCAAACACTTATTTGTTTTCATAAAGTCTAAACCTAGAATACCATCGACTTGTAGGTCAGTTACAACGGCCTCTGAAGTAAACTTCTCTTTACCAAAATCAAGTGTAAAACTACCCTTCCCCTTGAGGCTTAAATAGTTGTCACAGACGGACTTAATCTGTGACTGAGTTTTACTCATATGCGGTCTATACAAGTCAGGAATTGAATCATACACTCTTGTAGAAACTAGAGTAAGCGTAGCTCCAGTATCAACCACAAACTTGACCGGTACATCTTGAATGCTCAACTCAACAAACATTCCTGCATCTTCTGATGCTGAAACAACAACAGCGCCTTTGTCATTGTTTGAAGATTTAACTTCAGACTTCAGTGTATTAACCGTACCGTCCGTTTTAAAATTGTTCTTATGTGTTCCCTCCGTACTTTGTTTCTGATTATTATTGGGACAATTTCTTGCAAAATGTCCTATTTGTCCACAACTGAAACAAGGACCACCCCTTTTTCTGTTGCTTTGAGTGTTATTGGTCTTCCACCTTAGTTGGAACTTTCTTTTGGACTTTAATGCTTTAATCTCTTTTGTTAAGGACAGTAAATTATTTTCAATCTTCTGCATCCACGTCGTCATTTGTCCCATAGATACAGTCATATCAGGACTATTAGGTGCTTCTGTCCGTTCGTCACTAGTAGTATGTCGTAAGTGACCCATACTTTTCAGTGTTCTACTCTCAGCCTTGTTATAAGCTTCAAGCTCAACCGCCAACCGTATAGCTTCGTTAAGACCTTTTGGACGAGACTGTTTAATTCTCAGTCTCATTTCTGAGTCTACTAGCGCATTTATAAATTGTTCTTTAGCGAGCGTGTCCCTTAATTCTAACGGGGCAGTCGGGTAGGCAAAATTAGAAAGTCTTCGAACAGACTGACCTAACCCCGGCAAAGTATCGCTTGCTTTTTGTCGACATTCCTTGAATTGAACACGATAGAGTTCAGTCTGACTAGATGGAGCAAAGCGTTCCTCCAGTGCGTTTACTAGGTCTGAAAATATTTGTCTCTTTTCCTTTGGTAAATCACCAAGGACTGCTTGAGCCTGTCCAATCAGTGACACGGCCAAGAACAAACCTTTTTGATGTTCAGACCACATATTAACTAGGGCACACATCTCAAAGTGTGATAAGTAATCCATCCAAGGAGTATTGCCATCATATTTTGATGGTTTGATTTTAACATCGTTTGAACCAGAGCAAACAGTGTGAGCAGTACTTTGATTTTTGGTTAAATACTGTTTATCTTGCCCTATGGATTTCCTATTACTCATGTGAGGATTTGATATGATATCCCCATCTGGCAAAGGCAGTGTATCACCCACGGCCAATCCACTATGTGCTGATAGAGACGGCCCTGTCGTCACTACTCCTGAATCATGATCTTTATTTGCAATAACCTTTGTACGTACACCCTGATCTTTAGGTGTAGAAGATATAAAGCCAAGTCCATGTTGCATTGTGCTTTCACTAAGAGACTGTATTTGTCTACTTATTTCAGCAATCTGATCGTCAATATTTAACATATTCATTGCAGTATAGTGCAAGTCAAATAAAACAATTATAGTGTTATAATCTTTTATTAAATAATACACTCGTGTTACAACTCAGCCGTGAACTACAACTATGCCTCACGGTTGATCCGCTTTAATCTTTAAAATAAACACTGATGTCAACTGACAACAAATTTAGTGACAATCAATCAATCAAATAGTATTTGATAGACAACTTGAATCCCACCGCTGCCACCAAATATGTAACGTGTAACCAGGCGTTTATATCTTAAACGTCCGTTCCAGTAAATACTTGGATTCAA